TTAAAAAAAAAAAAAAAAGAATATACAACAAACTGAAAAACTAAGTCTCCCAAACCTGATCAAAAGAAGGGGCAAACGAACAGAATAGACACATCTCATCAAAAGTACAAATGATTTATGAATTACGGTAAATACATTTAAATATTCAACATCTTTAGCCATTAGGGAACCACAAATCAAAACAACTTTGAGATTTCATCTTATCCCAGTCAGCATGGCTGCATGAAGAACACTAAAAAACAAGGAATGCACTTCAGGGATCTGATCTATGATTAGGATTACCAGGAAACATACATTGAATTATATGGTGGTACAGGGATATGATCTCTCAAATTTACTCTTTGTTTTAAATTCATGTGTAAGTATGTGTATAAAAGCCAATGGGTCAGGAAAGAGGTATATTGAAGTTCACTGTCCTATTTTTACAACTTTTTTGTAAGTTTGGAATTAAATGAAAGTAAGCTTATCCACCCAAAATGAGTTCCATTTAGTTATCTTTAGCCAATTGTTAAGGAAATGCCATATAACATAGAGATACATAACAGCCAAAGAATGACAGCTTCCAGATGCTTTAGTATAAAACCTTAATTCAAAGCTCTAATTGTTTTATAGATGGGTGTGGTGGCACATGCCTGAATTCCCAATATTCAGTAGGCTGAGGCAGGAGGACTGCACAAGCTCAAGACCATTTGGTGACTTAAAGGTCAACTTAAACTACACTGCAACATCCTGTCTCAAAAAGAAAAAAACAAACAAAAAACAAAATTACAATTTTTTAGGCCAGCCAGATAGCTCAGTGCCCCCTCCAAACCCAGCCCAGGCCTTGCATACAGGGTTGGTGTGAAACTCTGCAGCTGAAGTCCCTGCAGAAAGGCTAGGGGCCAGAACCACCCAGCTAATTCAGGAGCAGAACATCTGGCCAGAGGGGCACAGCAGGTTCACTTCCAAGGGCTGCAGCAGGAAGGAGCTGAGCACAGCAGCCAGACCCAAGCCAGCCACAACTGGATGAATTCAAACTTCATAGATCTGCACCCGGTAGGTAAGCTGAGACACTTTGCTACCCAGATCTATAAGAGCATCCTCCCTCTTTCTCTGTTGATTGAGAAAGGGGGAAAAGGTAACCAGGGTGAACTAGTCTGTCTGGAAAACACCAGGTACATCAAGGGGAGGTAATCAGATGAAACTTAGCAGAACTAACTTAAATACAAATTCCCAATTTAATATCTGCTTAGCTATACAGACATAATGATTGTTCTTACTGTCTAAAATACAAAGCATTAGTTACAAAAGATTGTCAACTGCTAAGTATCATTACCCATTATTAGTATTACTCACTGTAGTTCCGTAAATACAAAACTATAACTGCCTTAATCATATAATCTCTCTTGTGTAAGAATTTCAGTAGGTGCTAAGGTTATAACTGTACCAAAGCTCTACCACAGGGCTGGTGAGATGGCTCAGTGGTCTACAGCACCTACTTAGAACAAGCTCAGCAGAGCACAGGGACCGCGGTTCAATCCCCCAGCACCACATGCCAGCCAGCCCCGCCCCCTGGTGGACTGAGCTGGCCACACACACACACACACACACACACACAAATAAATAAAATTTAAAAAAATAAAAAAATAAAAAAA